TCCCCGGCGAGCCAGAGGCCAAACACACAGCACCCGCAGCCTCTGCAAGTGGGAGGACAGACCAGCCTGCAGAAGTAAACGGTCCAGGAAGGGGAGCTCGAGGCACACGTGCAGTTTCAAGGGAGGAGGGACAGAGCAAAAACCCAGTAGGAAGGGAGGAGGCCAAGGGCACCAGGATGGACTTGGCCTCCATCGCTGGCCCTTGGAGGGGGAGCAGGAGACTGGAAGCCGGCCGGAGTGCCTGGGCAATTCTGGAACTTGGAAGGCCCGGTGAGGTGTTGGCATCCCAAGTTCAAGCACAGATTGAGCCCCAACCACATCCCTGGCCTTGTGACACCGTGGGACAGCACCGGGGAAGCCAGCCGGGCTCTGCCCCAGGGGGAGAGACAGGTCCAGAGGCAGATGCACAAAATAACGTGTGATAAGTGCTCAGAGCCTGGAAACCAGCCTCCCCAGCAGGGTGAGGGCAGATTCCTGCGGTTTCTGGGCCAAGACAACCCCACAGGAAGCTGCGGATCTGAGATGTGCCCAGATGTTCTATGCTGACAGCCTTCTGGTCTCCTGCAGAACCGAGGTGGGGCGCTTTCTCACCGTCTGTCCGTCCGTCTGCAGCACCGCGTCTGTCCCTGAGCACCTGTCATTGCTTGCGAGCCCCCCACTCCCAACCCGAGGAAGGAAGATGGGGAGAGCAGGCGGGGGTGCTGGGGGGAAACCGGCACCCTCTCTCCAGCTGCAGGGGGCCTTGTGCTCAGAGCGCTCAGAGCGGACGCAGGGAGATGGCTCTGCAGCGGTGGGGAGGCGCGCTCCCCCAGTGAAGTTAATACAATCGAGCCTCATCGTCTTGCCCATGTGTTGTCTGTTCTGTGTCTACCCAGGACCCTGTCAGGGGCTCGGAATACGTGTGAGGAGTGGGAGGCCGAGGTGCCCTAACGCACGGGCATCTCATGCCCCGGGGCCACCCAGGGCGTTACAGGGACACACTGCCTGGGTTCCAGCTCAGATCCACCTAGCTGCACCACTTGGGGCCTTTATGTCCCTGCCGGGTGCCCCTGCCTCCTCACCTGTCAACTGGGGTATATGAGAACCTCCCTCACAGGCTTGTTGCAAAAACCGGGTGAGTTGCCATCTGTTAAGGCACAGGTCCCTGCGTGTGATTAACATTCAACCAATGGGCACAAGCACTCCCTATTATTTCTGGGTCCAGAGCATGGGCTTCACGTGGACGGTCTCAGCTCATCCTCCTCCCAGCCCTATGGGATGGGTCATTTTGTTATCCCTGCTTGGCAGATAGGGAAACCGAGGCTCAGAGAGGTTAAGGAGCAGACCGGGGCCACACAGCTAGTAAATGTCACGTGGTGCTGGCAGCCCCACCCCCGTGGCCCCCACCCGCAGAAGACCAACCAGCATCACCTGCCTTCTTCCTGCTCTGATCTGTGATCACTTGCTTCCTGGTCCCATATGCACGCACATGTGTACACATCAGGACATGCAGACACACACTAACAGCTGCATACACACGTGCACATACTCAGGAAGCTCTGCTGAAAGACCGGCTTAGTCAAGAAAACTCCGCCTCCCTCATCTTGTCCCATTGACCCCTGTGGCCCTCCTCCCTCACACAGTGCCCCACATTGAAGTACAAACAGGCAGTACCAGAACCTCGTCAACCACTGGGTAGAGTCAACACACACACACACACACACACACACACACACACACCCCGTCACCTACCCTGTACCCAGGGCCTCAACTGGCACAGAAACATCTGGTGAGGATCACCAACCCATTGTACAGAACAGGAAACTGAGGCGTAAGGAGCTAAGAGGTTTGCCCAAGACTCCCACAGATAGGGATGGGGCAGGATGGGGACCCAAATGCATGGGACCCAGGCCCTCACATGGGCCCTGGATATACACAGTGAGCGAAACAGACCTGGTTCCTGCCGGGGGCGGGAGTCCCCAGGCTTCTCGAACAGCTGACAGAAAAATAAATAAAATCAACGGCAAATTCCTAAGCCGACGAGCTGAGTCAGAGAATGGTGAGGGGGACCGATCTGAGGTAGAGAAGTCAGGGAAACCTTTCGGGGAGGGCACTGCAGCTGAGACCCTGGAGGTGGACAGGAGTCGGTGTGCAGAGAGTCTGCAGAGGCATTGGAGGTGGGAGTAAGGATGGGCCAGGCCTCCAGGGGTTCACGTCAAACTCCCCAGCCCGGGACCTGCATTTCCTAAGCCGGCCTTGTTTTACCAGCAACTTCTTCTTGTCTGTATGGGGCTTGAGGTTTGTGCTAGGGCACCATGAACAGACCCCAGCCCTTTAAGTTTCCTGATCAGGCCCCTCCTGCCACCAGATATGAAAAATGCCAGAAGCCGAGGAGCCCCCCACCCGCACCCCAGCATTCCTTCCGGACAGTTTTGCTGACGTAACTTTTTTTCTGGGCCTGGATAAGGACCTGCAGTACTGAATTTCTGGTGGTGGTGATGATGATGATGATGATTTTTTTTAAGTCCTAGACTGTGAGCCCTGGAATATGCCCCAAGGGTTCCCAAGAGGTGGTCCTTTTCTCTTGTTCCATTTATTTATAATGCATGGTCCTCCTCCGTGCCCAGGGGAAGCCGAGTTTTATTTACATATCAATGCCCCAGAGGGCAGAGGGGCCCACCTGGCACCTTTGTCCCCAGGCTCACTCTGGGTTCCAGTTGGCAGGCTGGGATAGCTGTCAACTGCTCAGAAGTCAGAGACTCACGGACTTTAGAAGCTGGAAGAGGTGTCCTTTCACAGATGGGAAATGGAGGCCCAGAGAGGCCTGGATTTGCACAAGGCCTCCCAGCCTGAGCCATAGCAGTGGGGAGGACTGAGGGGTCCTGGCCATGTCCCCTGCCATGGACAGTTTTCATCAGCAGATGGGTGACATGGACCAGATGTCTGCCTAGTGAGGGGTTTGAGAGCAGGGGCTTTTGGAGCTGAATCCCAGCCCACCACGCCTGAAAAGTAATTTGACCCTCAGTGGCTCTTCTTTCTCATCTGTAAAATGGGCTGATCACAGCACTTAACCCAGAATTGAGGAGCAGGAACTGAGCTGATGTATATAAAGTGCTTAGACTAGCACCTGGCACAGTTCATCCCCTGCCAGAGCTCCTATTTATTAAGAGGAAGAAAGGCCCAGAGTTGTTGAGTCACTTGCTCTGGAACACACAGCCCCGAGACACACGGGACCCTTCCTGTGCTGCTGGTGAGGGCTCGGTAGCCCCCAGACAGCGGTGGGGAAAAGCGTGGCAAGTTGAGGACCCCTGCCCCCCTAATGGTGCCTTCACTAACGTGTTCCAGGAGGCAGGGCACAGCTCCTCTTCCGTCTGTCTCCAAAATTAGCACCCTGGGCCTTGAAAGGTGCCCCAATCCGGGGCTGCGCAAGGCCGTAAATGACCCCCATTTGGTCCCTCCTTTCAAACGAGGAGGGGGGCCGGGGCGCCCCGAGCCGAGTCGGCAGGGCGCTGCCCCTCCCGAGAGTCCCTCCAAGGCTCCTCGGTCTCTCTCGGGCGCCGGCCGCGTCCTCACCAGGCTCCCGCCCACCCCCACCCCTACCTCCACCCCCACCCGCGTCCTGCTTGCCCTTTACTTAAAGAGCAGCTCCAGCTGCTGATGGGTTTCCGCAGGTCCCCGAGGAGACCCTTCGGACGGCCCGAGTCGGGCGCGCTGGAGAGAGCCCCTAATTGGGGCCATGAATCACCGCGCGCGGCTCTCGGCTGGACGCAAAATAGATAGGAGCCGGCGAGCCATTGTGCGCAGTTCGGGCCGCGGGGGAGGGAGGGCCGAGGGGGCGGGGCGCCGGGCGCCGGGCGGG